TCCAATCACTCTGGATATCACAGTTGATGGAACCGATACTTTCTTTGACCTTTTAAAAACAGAAATTGCAAAACTAAATTAAGGTAAGTCATTAACATCAGTGGCTGTGTTTAAAGTGAGAGTATTAATGAAACAAGTTTCTTTAAATACATATACAATAGATTATTATTGAACAAACCTCTTCTACCTATTCTTAGTAAAGGTGAACAGATAGAAGACAACTGGGAGAAACAAATAATTTTGAGCTAATGAATCAATAATTAAATGCATAAAGTAAATAAATTAGAAGCTTTACCATAATTTCTTATATTACCAAAGACTCTGTGTTTCCTTACCTGACTTTCATTTCTCTTATATATTTTTTTTCCTATTAGCTTTACAGTTATTATTTACATACCATAAAGTTCACCCATTTTAAGTATACAATTTAATTTTCAAGTATCTTTTAAGAGTTGTACAACCATTATCATAAATTGAATATCAGAAAACTTTTTAACATATCTCAAAGGGACCTTGTACACATTAGTAGTAAGGCAGTCATTCTCTACCCTCTTCTCCCTCAGATAATGTAAAGCTGTTTTATTATTATTTTGTTGATGTTGCATTCTTCACTTACATTTGTGAAGCACTTAATAGACAGACAGGTACTGTGTTAATATAAATACTAATTGCAAGTAAGATAGGCATGATTCCTGTCTGTATATATTGATTATCTAGCCACTATATAATAAAAATCAACATCAAATCATGAGTGGGCTAATAAGGCTATTTTAAAGGCATACAGGTGGGGGTAGCCAATTTAGCCTGAGAAGTCTAAAGAAAGGCTTCCTCTGGGGACCTTTTGGTGTTTTCTTCACATTTTCTTTTTATTCTCTAATATCTAACTGAAAAGATGCTACTAAAATTTCATTATTTCCCTACATTTTTCTAGAGATGTTAAAATAATTATCTACAAATTTGGAAATTTAATACAGGATGTAGTAGTATGAGGAAAGAGAAACTCCTACCAAAATTTTTTAAAAAGCAAAACTCATCGAACACTTGCAAAACTACATTATTATCTTAAACATTCAGATTGAAGAAAAGTAGATACCAATTTCTGAAAATTCTAAATTAGAAAAGAAAAACAGTGTAATTCTCAACAATAAGAAACAGCCAAATATGTAATAATGATAATCAGTCAATTTTAGAATAGCATATTAAATATTCACATTATATTACGTTTTAAAAGGTACGTCTGATCCCTGACCTTTTATATATACAACTGAGTTACTTGACAGTTCTTTTCTCCATAGAGTAAATAATAATCAGCTAGTCAGCATCATTTCCAAATTAATTACTAATTTCTTTTCATACCACAATATAAAAAGACTGCAGGAAAACAGAATTACCTTACTGTAGGTACAAAGAGTAGTACTATGATGATCTGATTTCAATTAAATAATAGAGAGGGTATATGTCAATGAGTATATAGGTGAGAAAGAGAAAAAGGGAGGATGGCTTTGGTCCAAAATAATGACTAAAAAAAACTCTGTACAGTACACTGTGGGATTAACAGTGCTAACTTTGTTTCATTACAACTCTTGTTTCAAAAATTCAATGTTTAATATTTTAATGGAATTTCTAGTAAGTTTTTTTAAATAGGCGATCTAAGACTTATTATGTATTACATCCTTTCTAGGTTTGTGACATTTTACTGTACCCTTTGGTTTCTGGGATGCTGTGATCATACTATTTGATGTAAAATTATTTTTAAAAAATCCAAGTAAAATATTTCCATCCTAAAACTCCTGAGAGAAATAAATAAATGTACATTATAATTATAAAAGCAGGATTAGATCAATAGTTTAAAACTAATATGTATTAATTCCTTAAATATTTACCAGATATCGAACTCTACAAATATAAGGTTGAATAAGACACACTCTACAACCTTAGCTCAAGTTTTTAGCAGACTCCAGTATCTACAGGGACCAATCAGATACCACAAGTACCTAACTTTTTATGTAAACTCTCCCAATTAAAGTACTGATGTAAGATTTTTTTTTTTTTTTTTCATATAAAATATGATGTCATCTTGGCTAAATTCAGTTTTGGGCTACCAGTCTGGAAAAGCAGGAGGAATTTAACAGTTTACTGTGAAATACAGCATATATAAAGAAAGAGAAAATAGCTAGAAAAAACAATCACTCACCTTCTTACAACTTCTTTCCATCCTTCTTCCCGTTTTTGTCCACGTTTAGGACTTGCTACTGTTAACTTCCCATTTGGAGAGGAAAGGGGAGATGGACCAGATTTTGTGCAAGTGGACAGAGAATTACTGGTCACTTCACTGATAGTCTCTGACAATCTTTACAAAGAAGGGAGAAGTGCATTAAACATTGAAGAGATGAAGAATTTTTAAAATGATAAAGGGAATCTATTACATAATTTTATTCTTTTATTTATGTTTAGATTAAATATGGTGAACAAGTAAGGACTGTGTTTTTCACTTCTTTTCAGTACTTAGCGTAATATGAAGGGCCAGTTTTTTACAATGACACTCTCTAGGCGTCAGATTTACCATAGTTGAATCATATCAATAATCCCTGCAAAAGCCAAAATCAGTACTTTTCATAGCTAAGTTAATAATCAAAAAGAAAAAATAATACAGCAAAAATCATTTACTCTCTCATAAATACAAAATCTAAAAAATAGCTTATTCTTCAAATAAAATTATGCCTTCCTTGCCATACAAAATAAGTCCTCTGCAAGTTGCTACTTTGCTTGTTATACTAAAAAATGCAGCAACAAAGTGTTTAATGAAGATACTAAACCTGTTTGCAGCGACTGGATTCCGACTCATTGTAACTCTACAGGACAGAGTAGAACTGCCCTAATAGAATTTCCAAGGCTGTCAATCTTTACAGAAGCAGACTGCCACATCTTTCTCTTGTACAGCAGCTGGTGGGTTCAAACTGCCATACTTTTGGTTAGAAGTCGAGTGATATAATGCAAAGTAAAATAAAAATTAGAACTAACTTTATCGAAGTCTTGCCAGAAACAGATTTTCTCTCCTCCTTTGGAAATGTAACCAGAACTGATGGCTGCTTTTTGGTGGTCACAGTGGTGGTGACCACAGCTGGTGAATGATTGTCACTCTTCCGGCTGCTGTTGCTGTTACTACTTTCATCACTGCAGCTGGAAATCCTCATATTATCACTATCCCCACTCTCACTGGTACTGCTGCTCTTGGATTCGCCGTTCACTTTTTCTGGCTGACTGTATGAAATTGGTAGTGGATCATCAAATATAATTTGAACATTTTCTGGAGTAATTTTATTTTTCCTGTTTTTCCTCTTTGAACTGGTTGTAGTTATAGTATTATTTCTTTTACCATGGGAACCTGCTAAAGTTGTCCAGGTTGCAGATATACCTATAGTAGTAGTGGTTGTGGCACTTGGAGGCTCTGTCAAGACTTCAGGCTCATCTATAAAGGCAGGAATACTGAATTAGCAAATTTTAAGTACTCTTAGAACATACTTAGCGTCAAGTACTTGAAGAAGTTAAAAACAAAAACCAAGAGTTACTTGCTACAACTAGACATAAAATCATCAGTCATTCCAGCTTTCACTGGTAATGAGGTGGATACAAAAGTTCTAGTCTTAAGAACACACTATTCCTAAGTCCCCTCCAAAGTATAGTAGGTAGGTTATTAGGGATATTTTGGGGATAATTTAAGTTTCTTGGATATAATAATGTTATTGTGGTTATGTAAATTAATGTCCTTTCTCTAAAACCAAAAAAAAAACCACACACACTGCCATAGAGTCGGATCCAATTCCCCCTCCTTGGGTTTCTGAAGTGGCATCACTACGGAAGTAGATTGCCCAAACTTCCTTCCAAGGAGTGGCTGGTGGGTTTGATGAACCTTCTGGTTAGCAGTCAAATGCCTTAGGCACTACACTACCAGAGCTCCTGCCCTTTCTCTGTTGTTGTTGTTGTTATGTGCTCCAACTCATAGCAACCCCTCCTTGGATTTCCAAGGCAATATCACTATGGAAACAGGATTGCCCAACCTTCCTTCCAAGGAGTGGCTGGTGGGTTTGAACCGCCAGCCTTCTGGTTAGCAGTCAAGTGCTTTAGCCACTATGCTACCAGAGCTCCTGCCCTTTCTCTAGTAAATACATAATCAAGTACCTAGAGATGATTTCACATGACACATATAGCTTATATATGCTAACTTCTCCTAAAAAAAAAACAAAAAAAGACAGGGAGGGAGAAAGACAGACACAAAAATGTGTCAAATGTTACCAAGTAAGAATCTAGATGACACACAGGTTTGCATTGTCCTAATCCTAAAATTTGTCTGTAGTTTGAAATTTTCCAAATTAACATTAAAAACCCAAACACAAAAAAGCAATACTGTATACATATTTGGTGGTTAAATGCCAATAGTTCCTTCCTACAATACCCTCACCTAAAATCATCTTTTAATTTTTTTAGATGTAATATCCAAATGGGAGCTCTGGTAATGTAGTGCCTCAGGCACTTGACTGCTAACCAGAAGGCTGGCGGTTCAAACCCATCAGCCACTCCTCGGAAGAAAGATGGGGCATTCTACTTCCATAGTGATACTGCTTCAGAAACCCAAGGAGGGGTCACTATGAGTCAGGTCTGACTTGACGGCACATAACAACAACAACAACAATATCTGAATATCTTCAGTACACTTTAAAGTAACTCATAAAATACATATGTATATTTAGAGAAAAAGATGAAGCAAATATGTTAAAATGTTTACAATGAGGATACTCAGGTGTTATTCTTTCTACTTGTCTATAGGCTCCAAATTTTTAATAATAAAAAGGGGGGGGGAGTCAATAAAGGCAAAAAGTATAAATACTCTAAAAGTTTTGTACTTTCAAAGTCTATTTTCACTTTAAGTGACTGATACTAACACAAATATAATTTTTACTAGGATTTATTACAGGTAACAAACTGGATAACTGTTTAGAGAAAAATACCTTCAACTTTAAGTTTTTCCTTCTCTTGAGCAGCTTGGAGTTCAAAGTTCTCTTTATTTTTGGCTTCAATTTCTTCTAGTTTTCGTCTTTGTTCTTCCTTTTTCTTTCTTCTCTTCTCCTTTCTCTTTTCTCTTTTGGCAGCCAAAGCTAGCCTCCGACTTTCTTCCCTTAACTGTTAAAAGACCAATAAAACAGAGATATAACACTGGAACATACCCTTGGAGAAAGCTGTCACACAATGTCATTTTATCACAGGTGAACCAGGACACCATAAAATTGAAAACCACCTACTTTGATTTTTTTGATCACAATCATACATAAAGCACTCCAAAGAGATAAGAGTAATTATAAAAGATCAAGATGAAGACAATGATAAAAAGACAACTGAATTTTAAGATGGGCCAATGATAAACAGATGCATATCCTCATAATCATTAAAGAAATATAAATTTTAAGACACTGTTTTTCTGGTTCAATTTGGCTAAAGATATCACACATAGGCATAGTTTTGGAAATTGATTTCTCTCCTACACTGCTGATGGGCAATAATATTTTCATTTTAGTGAAAGTAAAAGCTTCCTATCAAAATTACAAACTGCTTATCCTAAGAAATTATTCTAGAAAAGGACTACCTTTAGTGAAAAATGCATGTTAAATAATCTTCACTGCAAAAGTGACTACAATGGCATTAAATACAAAGAAAATAATGAATGAATAAATTAACAAGGGCTTTCAAGGCTCTGACCCTTCAGATGTAAATTGCTAGGCCTATCTTATTATACCCTCGGGGTAAGTTCAAACCAACACTGTGGCTAGTAGTCAAGTGTGTAACTTTTAGGGCCACCCAGATTCCTCAAAAATCCAACTGTGTTGTGGTTGCTGGCTGCCACTGAGACAGCTGTGACTCAAAGCAACCCTAAGCACAACTGAATGAAACAATGACTGGTCCTACACCATCCTAGCCTATGCATGAGACCATCCTTTGCAGCCACTTTGTCAACTATGTCACTGTGTCACCATTTTAATCATTAAATTTTCTTCCTTGGTTCATAAATTAGAAAAATATTCTTCAAACTCCTGCTTGTATGCCCTCTAAATTATTTTTTAAACTCTGTACTCCCTGCATATAATGTTACTGTCTAACACTGAGTCCATTCTGACTCACAGCAAGGCTATATGACACACAATTGCTTCAGAGAGTTTCCTATTCAAATCCATTAGCTGCTCCATGGAAGAAAGATGACGTAGTCTGCTTCCATAAAGATTTACAGCCTTGGAAATCCTATGGGGGTCTCTATTAGTTAGAATGGACTCAATGGCAGGTTTGGTTTTGGCTTAATCTTTAGGAGAGCAGATAGCAAGGTCTTCTCTCCATCAAAGCAGCTGGCTGTTGAAATGAACCACAGAGCTTTAAAGCCCACTGCCATCTAGCTGCTTCCAACTCATAGCAACCCTACAGAATAGAGCAGAACTGCCCCATGGGTTTCCAAGGCTATAAATCTTTACAGAAGCAGAAATACATCTTCTTTCTTTCACTGAGCAGCTGGTGGGTCCAAACCAACAGCCTTTTGGCTAGCATTCAAATTCTTTAACCATTGGGCCACAGACAAAGAGGTTCCCACAGACCATTAAGTTAGCAAAAAGCCAACCACTTGTTGCCAAAGTTAATTCCAACTCATAGCAACCCTACAAGACTGTCTCATAGGCTTTCCAAGGTTGTAATCTTCATGGAATCACTTGCACATTTTTCTCCCTCTGGGTTCAAACCATTGATCTTTTGGTTAGCAGCCCAGCACTTCAACCACTGTGTTATCAGGGCTCCCTTTAAGTCAGCAGCCAAGCTCTAAACCATTGTGCCACCAATGCTCCTAACAAAGAATCTGGTGTTCTGTATATTTTATGTGCATTTTAAACGATCATTAACAATGACGCTCAATTTATGGAAAATGTCTACAATATCATAAATAGTAAAACCAGTACTCACAGTCAATCTCTTAAATCAGACTTTTTTTCCTTTGAAAAAGTCTGATTTGATTTTCAATTCTTTTACTTTTACTAGCTATTCCTTGAGTGGGAGCTCTGTTAACATAGTGCCTAAGGCACTTGACTTTTAACCAGAAGGCTGATGGTTCAAACCCACCAACCACTCCTCAGAAGGAAGGCTGGGTGATCTATTTCTGTAGTAATACCCCACTCCCCCGCCAAACCCAAAGAGGGGTCACTATGAGTGGATCCAACTGGATGGCACATAACAACAACATTCCTTGAGGAACAATGCCTTTCAAATTACACTGATGTACATGAACTTTCACCTACTTTGAAGAAAGTTGTTATACCTTGTGGCAATGCACTGTAATTATATTCTAGTGAAAGAGAGATAAGGCTTTTGTTCCTGAAAAGGGAACAGATCAATACAGTCTGTATGACACTGCTTTGTTTTTGTTACTGTTTAAGGAAAATCCATTTTTAGAAGCAATACATATGGAAGCTGAAGATCTAGAAACTGCAGGCATAGTACAATCTAGAAAGTCTTCCTTCCCCCAGAAAGGCACCAAGCTCCAGTTTAAAGCCGTTTCTAGAAAGGAAGAAAACTGTAATTGGTGACCTCCACTTCATCTAAAACCAAACACCAAACTCACTGCTCTGGAGTCAGATTCAACTCACAGAGACCCCTCCTCGGGTTTCCGAGGGCCCTCTTTATTATTGTAATGTGAAAGTTTATCATTTTTCTTTGAGGTTATCCTGTAATTTATAATTTTCTCCACACGTTTAGAACAGTCCATTCGATCTTGCATCTCTCTTCCTCACCATTTAGAAGTTCTGTAAATATACTACTTTATCTCTCTTTTTGGTATCACTGCTTAAGTAGATTGCCCAACCTTCCTTCTGAGGAGTGGCTGGTGGGTTTGAACACCAGCCTTGTGGTTAGCAGTCAAATAAGGGAGGAGTAACATCTGATTGGAGAGTCTGAAAGACAGAACTGAGCCTGTGTGACTCAGCTCATTTCTTCATTGGGAAGTAGCTGCCTGCCCTCAGAAAACATGCTTTCTGCTCTGTTCTCTGCCTGCAATACTAAAAGGGAAGCCTGTGAGTGTCCTACGCAGCTCTAATTTTGACAGAATGGGTAAGTATAATAGTAACTGGAGTAGAAGCGGGGTGAAGGATGGACAGGACCAGTGCAACAACAGTGGCTGTATGTAAAGTAAGCCTTTCCAATTAAGACTTAGGAGTAATGAAATGGATATATTATCTCCATAATGTCTGATTGGGTAGAGAAGCCTCACGGAAGGTACCAGAAATGGCTTTGGGGAACCAAAATAACAAATGAAGTTATCTGAGGTTCTGGGGTCAGCCAGGATGGATTTTTTATTTTGCTCAATTTTTTTAACTTGCCTGTGAGCTAAGTGGTATTCTAAAGGGCATAACTTAAAAAAAAAAAAACAAAAACAAAAACCAGCATTAAAAATCAGACCATGGTTTAGGTGTGGTATATAATCCCATTTGGCCTAAGTGGGTGAAGGTGGGGTCTGGGGACTGTGGATGTGGGCGGGTCTTAGATAAGAAAATATCTCCATCTTTAAAGACCTTCAGTCCCCTGGGGCTGACCCTTTGCCAAAAGCAGGATGAGTCTGGGTTATCATTCTTTGGAGATCCACCCAAAGGCCTAAGCATTTACTATCCTCTCAATTTTGAAGCTCTACAACTGGTGTTTTGATAATCCCTTATATTTACTAACTCCTCAGACTCTCTAAAAAGTGGGGCAGAAATTACCAGGCCCGAAGGAGCTCTGGAAGTGTAGTGCCTAAGGCATTTGACTGCTAACCAGTAGGTTGGTGGTTCAAACCCACCAGCCACCCTGGAAGGAAGACTGGGCAATGTACTTCTGTAAATATTTACTGCCTTGGAAACCCAAAGGGGGTCAACTATGAGTCAGAATTGATTCAGTAACAGTGAGTTTGGTTTGGTTTTTGGAAGGATCTCTGATGGCGTAGTGGATAAGGCCATTGGCTGCTAACCAGAAGGTCAGTGGTTCAAACCCACCAGCTGCTCCATGGAAAGAAAATGGGGAGATGTACTTCCATAAAGATTTACCACTTTGGAAACCCAAAGAGGGTCACTATGAGTTGGAATCAACTCAATGGCAGTGAGTTTTGACAGGTGACTCATAAGGAGCTCTAGTAATTTACTAGTTAAAACCACTAACCACAAGTTCAGTAGTTCACATCCACCAGTCACTACGTGGAAGAAAGATGAGGTTGACGTCAGTAAAAATTTACAGCCTTGGCAACACAACAGGGGTTTCTATGAGTCAGAATCAACGTGATGGCCATGAGTTTGGCTTGGTTTTCTGGAGAGGTACTTCAGAAGACATGCCTGGCTCTATGGAGCAGTTCTACTCTGCATACACAGGGTCAGTAAGTCAGCATTAACTTAATGGTAACTAACGACAAGAGAAAAACTACATCTTCCTGGAGAGAAGGCCCAGTTTATAGCTACAGAAAGACCCCAAGTCTACAAGGCCTAGAGACTGCAAAGACTATGCAGAATTAGAAAACTGTCTATCTATACATAGAGATTTTAAACCAAAAACCAAATCCATTGCCACTGAGTCAATTATGACTCACAGTGATCCCCACTGGTTTTCCGAGGCAGTAAATCTTTATGGAAGTAGATTGCCCTATCTTCCTGAGTGTAGTGGCTGGTGGGTTTGAACCGCCAACCTTCTGGTTAGCGGTCAAATGCCTTAGGCACTGTACCACAAGAGCATCTTAGATACAGATTTAAACCAAAACCAAACTCACTGCCATCGAGTTGACTGCGACTCATAGTGATCCCCATTGGATTTCTGAGGCAGTAAATCTTTACAGTACTGCCCAGTCTTCTTCCAGAGTGGCTGGTGGGTCTGAACCACCAACCTTCTGGTTAGCAGTCAAATGCCTTAGGCATTACACCACCAGAGCTCCTTGGTCTTTCAAAACAAAAAAAAAATTCATATGTGTGTTGTGGAGGAGAGAATATGAGAAAAAAATGAATATATACAATATTTAAAAGGAAGAACATTCAAGAGTTCAAAGGAGCAAAGAAGGCATTCCAGAAAGACAATCAGGAGAAAGCAGCTCCACTGGGAGAAGTGTTTCAGGGAAGAATGCAAGGTCAACACTGGTAAGTAAT